CCTTTTTTGGTATTTTCACGCAAATTCTCCTGCTAGTTGGGGTTTAGTCCACTTTTGTATCCTTCCCTTCAAGGCTCAGGGGTCTAAGATTATCTTCTGTGTCTGTGTTAATTGGTTTCCCTTTTCTTTGTTGAAGAGCGTCTGTGCAGTCCTTGTGCCTAGTCCACCATCTTCAGAACTAATAAATACTTTTTTTTTTAATGCATTTTATTGAAATATAATTTATGTACAGTGAAATACACAATGCATGTGACATGGGTCAATGCACTTTTTTTTTTTTTGAAGCGTTCCCTTCCCTCCTCTCTCACCCCTGGCAACCAACAGAGGAAGTTTTCCTCCATATATAAACCTTTCCTTGACCCTCCACAATAACGAACTGATAATATATTTGTCCTTCTGTGATTGACTTACTTCACTCAGCATAATGTCCTCCAAGTTCATCCATATTATGCAGTCTTTTGCAGACTCTACATTATTCTTTAGTGCTGCATAGCATTCCAGTATGTGTATGTACCATGGCTTGGTCATCCACTCTTCTGCTGATGGGCATGTAGGTTGTTTCCATCTCTTTGCTATTGTAAATAGTGCTGTGATGAACATGAGTGTGCAAGTGTCTGTTCCTATCCTGACTCTTAACCTCTTTAGGATATATACCTAGTAATGGGATTGCTGGGTCAAATGGTATCTCCAATTCCACCTTTCTAAGGAATTGCCATATTCCTTTCCACAGTGGTTGTGTCACTCCACAGTCACACAAGCAGTATATGAGAGTCTCAATCTCTCAACATCCCCACCAGCATTTGTTATTTTCTGTCTCATTGAACCTTGCCATCAGTGCTGGGGTGAGACAGTATATCTCCTTGTTGTTTTGATTTACATCTCTCTGATGGCCAGTGGTTGTGAGCATCTTTTCATGTATTAGCTGACCACCTGAATATCCTCCTTGGTGAAATGTCTATTCATGTCTTATGCCCATTTTTCAATTGGATTGTTAATTCCTTTGGTGTTGAGGCATTGGAGTTTTCCATCAATCTCAGAGATAAGTCCCTTGCCAGATATGTAATTATCAGCAAATAGGAATTTGTTGCTGTCATTTTTATCATGTGCTTTTTCATTGTGCCTGTTTCTTTGCTCCATATAATTTTCTATGCTGAGCTCGTTTTATTTATGAATCATGTTATCACTTCCTTCATTGCTATTGTTTTAGTATTTGCTGAATATTTATGCTGGTCCTCTTTTTTATTTTGATGTGAAGGTTTTATCATTTTTCTTT